CTTTGTGACATACAAAAATACTTCACCAACCAAGATGGAAATTTGCGCTTTTATTAATGAGGCCAATGTGGATAATTACTGAAGTTTGTGGGCAGTACATGCTGAGGGAAAATGGCAAGAAATAGGATTGAAGACAGTGCTTCTCTTCATAACCATTTCAAAATTTTATTTTTTTGACCAAACTTTCTATCAGGTGATTGTACAATATGAAGCATCTACATGTGCTGCTGAGTATGCGACACTGCGTGCTAAAGACGACCCAAGGCAAGTTTTGCCTATTATTGATGAAAAATCAGCCCTGATTGAACATGATAACAAACTTGGAATGTAATGAGACAAAACTAAGGATCTTTATCAACGTAACAGAAAAGAGTATTTATGTCTCTTTTCTATCACTATTAGTCACGGTTATGCTATTAAAGTATTTTAGCTATTTAGATATAGGGATATAGGTAATTGTGGCAAGATTGGCTTTGAGTGCGAACTGTCACCAACTATCAAAAGATAAGTAATCTCTCGGGTTACAAGCGGGTGAGAGGATAGACATTCCACAAAATAAACTGAAGTCTACCCATTGTATTTTGGTGAATTTGATAAATAAAATTTAGTACCGAGGGCGCTTGAGCTCTTAATAAAGAAGGACAGAGATAAAGATATAGAAGAAAGAGAAAAGAAAGAGAGTAGCAACACGGCACGCTATGCATCGTAGCAAAGAATATGTTTGTATATCTATCGAAACAAACTACATATTAGAGGTCCCTAATTACTAAAATCATCGCTATGTGCTTAATAGCATACGGAAACACTAGAGATGTATGCACGCGCTAAATGAAAGAAAGCATCAGGGAACCATCCACAACCTATAAGAATACGGCCAACAAAGGTGCAAGGTAAAGCGGCATATAGATAAATCGTTTGTAATTCTTTATTTAGTCCCAGAATCGCATAAAGAATATCAACATCTATTCTGGGCTACGTACGACCTCGATAAGATAAATATTCTGGTCAATATTTAATGATTGGGTATCGAGCTTGTGTCGTGGAAGGCCTGGTAGTGGTATTTAAGACTGAAATAAAGACCCCGTACAAATAAATTCGTATGAGGGAGCAGTGTAAATAGGGTGTGTACGGAGCCGTGCAAATATCTTTTTCTATTCCAAAATTAGTTTTGCAAAACTTGATAAAAACAGTGGAACGAACACAATAAAGACATAGTCAAAGCCCATTGGAGCCTTCAGAAAATTTTTAAACCAGTCGTGGTAATTATGTGCCAGTGACATTGCAAGAAAAAAAGATTTCCCTTAGGGAAAGTCGGCTAAGTCGTGAAAAATAGCAATTATCGGATATTCCAAATTCATTTCTTCAAGAGGCATTGCATAAAGTATTGAAAAATGGGGCTCATATCGTGGAAATAGCCTAGGCAAGTGAATCCTGCTTCAGTTAAGCTCTGCTTCTCAAGGTTCTGACGCAATAGTCCATATAATCATCAAATGACAGGCTTTGCTTTTTCTATGGTTATAATAATGTATACAGGTATTACTCCATGGATCCTGAATAGACCGTTGGGGAGCATAGATGCAGTAATAATGGCCCTTTGTTCCTTCCCCTGGGCAACGACAGATACTGGATGTGAAAGAGATCTATAAGATTGCGGGCGGTAAAGTCCGGGATAGCAACTCGGGAAGACCCAGCTAGATGTGATGGGGCGGTTAGGTGAAATGAGCCTTTTGATGACTATGAACAGTGGATTATCTGTCGCGTTGCGCTACAGGTCATGTCGGAAAGACGAAATTTGAGCACCAACCATGACGATCAGAGTTTGTGAAATCATAGCTACAGCGGCGGAGCTGTTTGCGCAGCAATAGCTATTTATTGTCTATAATGTCTGTCCATAGAATATAGAGAGTACTTTCTATAGTCCTGAAGGTCTTTATTATCTAAAAAAAAAAGGCGCGGATGTCTAAGCCAGAATGATGAAGTGAGTGATAGATAGAATGATAATGCACATCAATACTTAAGAGAAGCTGTATGTTGATCAAGATCCAGTTGGCTCTAGTGGAGTTGTTAGAGCAGCCGTTTGGTTATATCAGATATTATCTGATGCTCTTTGTTTCTTTATTTTGTCTTCATAGCATATGAAAGGTTTGTAAATGAGAGGAATTTCACTACATAACAGTTAAGATGAATGAACAAATCTCCTCCACGTTTGTGCGTGAAGATCCACCCTGCGAGAACGTTTTATTTTATTTTGAAATCTATAGAATAGATTACTCATTTCTCACCTTGGTTGATAATGCAAGAAAGAAAATAGTGTACTCAGGTATGTCTACTATGGTAACGTAACACATATAGTAATATAAATATATGCATTGTAGTCTCATATTATGTATGATATTGCACAGCACTTTAGTTTGTTCAATCTGCCTATAGGCTGACTTAAAAAAAAAGCGCCGAGGAACGCCGCATTCGAGATTTAAAGATTTGTAAAATTTCTTTCATTCCGCCGCTGCAAAAAAAGTTGCAAGACGTTGCTCCATTCCATCCATTCCAATCAAATCTCGTGGATGTAGCTCTTGCGCTCGGGGACCCGTTATTGAGTCATTATGAGTTATATATCTCTAAGGACCTTTCCTCTTCCTCTTCGCGTTTAATATTTGTGACCTTTGTTTACAGTCCTGAAAGAAAAAAAAAAAAGCTTTATAACTTCCTCAATTTTTTAGCGTCTCAAAGTACTACTCCCCCCCTCCCCTTCCGTCGATCAACACTAAATTACTCAAAGTATTTTTTCCTACTTCACAAGCTCATCTCATCATGTTCAAACAAAAGCAAGGTTACACCCGTGTTGAGGACGACGCCAAGTCTACCATCTCCTCTACCTCCAACTCTAGCCTCATCAATGGCTCTAGCTCTAGCTCTATTACGCTACCTGTAACTTCATCCCCTTCCAACTCTTCTAAAGGAGCCATTCATCTTCGCAATGTCGCCTATTCGCGTCCACTGGCTGGCACACCAACACCGACCACACGTGCTCAAGTCCTCGACAGGCTTATGCCACTCTCCAAGAACCCATGGTCCAATGTGCCAACTATCATAGATGATGGTCCATACGAGAAGCCCTAGAAGTCCCCCACTATCCCTACTCCACCTTCGTCATCATCCTTGACAATGGCTCAACCGTGAAAGGCTCGTTCCTAAAGAAAGAGTATCGAAGACACCCAGCCACCAACGATCATCCGCAACCCTTTCTCTCTCTCTTTTCTTTTCTTTCTTTTTTTTTTTTTTTTTTTTTTTTTTTTTGTATTATTTTTGCGCATGGAGATGATGGCCGTAACCAATATTGGAGGTATCGTAGCCATCAAACGACTTATGCTAAAAAACATTTTCTCTTTTTTTTTTTTTTTTTTTTTCTTTCTATCTATTGTTCTTTTTATTTTATACATTTGTCTTTTTTTTCCTTTCTCTTTAGATTCATCTCTCTCGCACATGCCCGCGGCGCATCTAAGCAAACAAAAAACCTGGCCCAGCTTTTACTCTTCTTTCTTCTAATTGTCTGAAAAAAAAAAATGGAGGATTGCCAAATAAGTCCAGGGTAATATAATCATGCAAAAAAGAAAAAACAAGACTGCATCCGCGAATTTGTGCTCTGAAAAGAAAACGAAGGATCGAGTGGTGAGAGGACTTCTCCCTTCTCCTTCTTCTCCTCTCCTGGAAACCTTTTTCTATCGAGAAAAAGGGTTGAATCATCCGATGCAAGGAGGAAAGAAAGGTGTTTTTTTTTTTTTTTTTTTTTTTTTAATTTTTTTTTTTATCTTCTTCGAGTGATAATAGAACTTTTTCCTTTTTCCTTTATATATATAGGTATATATGTATATAATATATATGACTCCCCGTCTATAGCTTTTCCTTAGTTTACTTCCTATATCATAAATTAAAAAATTCCGCAGACTTGGTACTTTATGCTTTTTATATTGTATGTGATGTTTCTACTTTAATAAAAACTTAATTGTTGATGTTCTTGAATCCTAAAGAGCCAGTCACCAAGTAACCGAAGGAGTTGGTAACAAAAAAAGATGCGCAGCGCCTAATTGTCAGAGAGTTAAGACTGCTATTGTAAGGATAGGTTCTTGCTATTGTTTCTCTTCTTATATTCAAAAGAGTAGTTAGAAAATGATGAAGAAAAAAAGGAAAAGGCGCTGACAAATAAAAAAGAAGGAATAAATAGAAAATTCTAGTAGTCCGAGTAAATAGAAGAGTGTTGAGGAAGGCATGTAATGGTCTAGATCCTTCCCTCCCTTCTGGCTCTTTCCATTAAATAGTAACAACAATAGGGATATATATACATATATTTATAATAGTTTTTTTTTTTCCTACATAGTATATATTAAAAATCAAGATTGTCATCTGAAGATCAGATGTTCTGCTATATTATTTACCCGTTACGCCCAGTCCCCATCCGTTTTTCTGATGCATCAATGTAAGAATGACTAGAAAAAGGGGGCGGACACGCTGGTTCGTGGAGAAATTGTCGAATATATTTGGTAAACAATCCAATCATCTTAAAACAGAATGAAAATCTCGGCATGTTTGTCATAATTCATGAGGATTTGTGTACCTTAATGGTTTTATTATGGGATTGACATGCTTGTCTCAGATTGGTTGTCCAATCAAATGCAAAAGCATGACCATTACTGGACTCATTTTTTTTTTTTGAATTGCCCTCAACAGAGCCGCTCATTTTGTTTACCCCTGCTCGACTTCCACGGCTGCGCAATAGGTCTGTCAAACAGCTGTCAGTTTGTAATTTTTTGACAGGTGTCATCTATTCATTTTCCGATGTTCTCCACAGGGAAGAATAGACTCCATTCATGCAAGATCATTTCTTTTGCAATACAAACCTACTGTCATACTCCTTCTCCTCCATTCTCCTAGACTTCCCAAAAAGAATAAAAAGGCAACCGTTTCCTGCCTCGATTTTTTTTTTTTTTTCTTTATCAACTCAACCCAACAAACAATTTTCCATATCCAACTCAAAAACTACAAATCAGCACTAAAACCCAAACCAAGCACAAGTTCAAGCCATGTCGAATATCCAAGCCATCAACAACGATCACTTTAACAAGACTGCCAGAGACTATGACGCATTCCCTCAGGCCCTCGAGATGACCAAGCATGGTTATGCCGCCATCCTGGAGGAGTTCAAGGCCGCAACCAGTGAGGAGCACGTCAAGAATGCCACTGTTCTTGATTTCGGATGTGGCAGCGGTAAGGCTATTTTACTCTCTTCTTTTATTATTTTTATTTTTATTTTTAATTTTAATTTTTCGTCCGCTGAACTAATTAAGCTTTTATTCATTCCCTTCGGATATATTCCCCCTACCTCACTCTCTCGTTTTCTTTCTTTCTTTTGAAATAGGTCTCTGCGCATTCAAAGTCGCTGCGGATGTTAAGCACCTAGTCGGCATCGATGCCTCCATTGGGATGCTCGAGCATATGAACCACAAGCTTCATACCCAGGAAGAGAACACGGGCATTCGTGACAAGATCAAAACCGTCAACCATCTCATCTCGATGGAGCAACCGCTGCCAGAGCCCGAGTACTCTCAATACTTGAAAGGCGAGGATGCTGGATTCGATCTAGTCTACTCGACTTATGTTCTCCATCACATTGAGGATGTTCAGGGGGTCATTGATGTATTGAGTAAGACACTCAAGAAGGATGGCTGGCTGATCATTGTCGACTTTGAAAACACTGGAAAGGGCCATGGACACGGACACGGACACGGACATGGACATGGACATGGACATGCTCATGCTCAAACTCAGACACACGGTGAGGGTTGTAAGCGTCGTGATGGTAACAACGAGGAGAGTGATAAAACCCATCAGACCGCACACGAATTCTTCAAGGGTGAGGGTGGAAAGGCGGTAGACTATGTTGCTCACAAGGACGGATTCAAGCCTGAGGAGTTTGAGGAGATGTACAGGAAGGCAGGCCTGGTTGATGTTTCGGCCAAGCATTGTTTTGGCACCCACTTGACTATGCATAACAAGTCAGTCTGGGTTGACTTTATGGTCGTCAAGGGACGTCGTGCTTGAATGGAAAGTAGTCTAGAGCATTGACCTGGAAGCAAAAAAAAAAAAAAAAAAAAAAAAAAAAACTGTATACTAGGTTAAAAGCATTCAGTGTATGGACATGCAACAGTCATAATAAAATCAAAAAAAGAAAGAAAAAAAAAAAAGATTGTCGGAGTTATTTGGATAAAATATCTAATCCCTCCAATCGAAGATATTGTTACATAATGTATTTTGCTTAGCTGCGGAATTGAATTGCGGATAATGTGAGTGAGTACCTTATTGGCCCGTCATCCTTGTTAATCTATTCCATCTGAAAGCTCTATCCTTGTTGAGCTTGTTTCAATTTTAAGAAAAAATAAAAAAGTATAAAAGGGCAGCCCAATCCTCCCTTTTTTTCCATCAATTCTTCTTTCTCCATCATTTTACTCCCCATCCACTCTACTCTCACAAACCAAACCACATTCCTAAATCATGTCCGATATCCAATCCATCAACAACGCTCACTTCAACAAGACCGCTCAGGACTATGACTCATTTCCTCAGGCCAAAGAGTTGACAGAACGTGCTGCAGAGACCATCGTTCAAGAGTTTATTGCCTCCGCAGGCCCGGAGCGTGCCAAGAATGCCATTGCACTTGACTTTGGTTGTGGCACTGGTAAGGATCTATTTCCTCTCCTATTTTTTTTTTTTTTTTTTTTTTTTTTTTTTTTGCTTATTTTCATCAGGGAGTGAATGTGTGGGAATTTTTTAATAGCTTTGGTTTTAATCTTTCTTTTTTTTTTTTTTTTTTTTTTTTTTTTTTTCCCTTCCTTAAAATAACTTGTTAGGACTCTGTGCCTTCAAAGTGGCACCCCATGTTAAGGAAATAGTCGGTGTCGATGCTTCTGAAGGCATGACCCAGCACCTGAATCACAAACTGACCACCCAGGACGAGAACAAGGCTATCAGGGATAGTATCAAGACCGTCACCCATTTAGTTACTCAAAATGAACCTCTGCCAGAGCCGGAACGTTCACAATATTTGGCAGGAGCAAATGGCGGTTTTGATCTCATCTATTCGAGTTATGTAATGCATCATATCGAAGATATCCAGGGAACCATTGATACTCTTGCTCAAAAATTGGTCAAGAAGGATGGTTGGGTCATCATTATTGATTTCCAAGGCCCTCACCATCACCATCACCATCATCATGAGGGAGACGGAGAACATGAAAAGCATGGTGAACACAGTAGTGAAGGTCATGGTCATGGCCATGGTCATAATCATAATCATGGTCATAGTCATGGAGACATCAGTAATTCGCTGTTCGTAGATGAGAACGGTAATCCTCTGGATTATGTTGCCCACAAGCAAGGATTCACCTCCGAGGGCTTGACAGAGGTCTTCAAGAAGGCTGGACTCGTCGATGTCTCTGCTAGAACTGCGTTTGGTATGAGCAGAGAATTATTCGGGAAGAAAATTTGGGCTGATGTCCTTGTCATCAAAGGCCGTCGCGCTTAAAGTAGAAATAGTAGATTTTTTTTTTTTTTTATTTTTTTTTATTTATGACCGAGTTGGCTACCGATAATAATTAATCATAAATAAGTAAAGAAAGAAAGAAAGAAAGAAATAAAGAAATAAAAGCTCTGCAGCCAGAAAATAATATGAAATATGAAGAATATGTACATATGATTGAAGCGTTTTTGCTTTTTTTTTCTAATTTTTATTTTCTTTTATTTATTTAGCCAGCCACAACTAATTGGCTTATAGCTTGCTCTTGACAGGAGACTCGGGAGTGGGAGGGCAGGGTGCAGAGCCGGAACTAGAAGAAGCAGCAGCAGCAGAGAGGCTCTTCAAAGTCAAGGCTCGAGCAGCTTTCGATCCATTTGATCTACCCAAGCGGTCTGAAATCCAGTTTCCAATTTCGATTGCCTTCTGAAGATCCACACCGGTTTCATACTTCATGCCTTGCAACATGTATACAACATCCTCAGTGGCGACATTTCCAGAAGCTCCAGGAGCATATGGGCATCCTCCCAAGCCTGCCACAGAGCTGTCAACAACACGGACGCCCATCTATATATACACGCATAAATATATGTATATATATAAACGTTAGTATATGGCTATTAGAATGCCTAATTCCATTAACCTTTTTTTTTTTTTTTTTTTTTTTTTTAAATACCTCCAAAGCACAATGAATGTTGGCGAGAGCTTGACCATAGGTATCATGACAATGAACAGCCAGAGCCTTCATGGGCACAACCTGAGATACGATCTTCAACATGTCATGGAAACTACCGGGTGTACCAACACCAATGGTGTCTCCTAACGAGATCTCATAGCATCCCATGTCGTACAATCTTTTGGAGACTTCTGCAACTCTCTTGGCGTCGGTAGGGCCCTCATAAGGGCAGCCAACCACACATGATACATATCTGAAGAAAAGATCCCAAGGCGATTTGTTAGGATGGCAGAAGAAAAGGAAAAGGAAATAAAATAAAATAAAATAAAATAAAAAAAAAAACTGCTAAAGTGACAACGAGACTTTACCCACGAACCAAGATCCCATGCTCTTTAGCTTTGGCGATAAGGGGCTTTACACGTTCAAAACTTTCCTCGACTGTGCAGTTGATATTTTTTTTACTGAATGAATCCGAGGCAGCCAAGAAGACAGCAACCTCTTTGACACCTGCTGCAATGGCTGCATCAAGCCCCTTGATGTTGGGTGTTAAACATGGGTAACTGACATTTTCTTTCTTTTTGATGGACGTAATTACTTTGGTGGCATCACCCATCTTGAGTAAAAAATAAAATAAAGAAATAAAATAAAAAATTAAAAAGAGATGATCATAACCATGAAATATTAAGAGTGAGATGCGGTATTCTCATTAGTAAATAGATATCTTTTAGGATGAACGTTGAACACATACTTGAGGAACCCATTTTGGTGAGACGAAGCTGGTAGTCTCAACAACAGAAAGACCTGTGTCGGACAGGCGGTTGATGAATTCGATCTTTGTTTCGGCTGGAATGACCGACTTTTCATTCTGAAGACCATCTCGAGGACCAACTTCAACAATCTTGACAAACCTCGACGATAAACTGGCAGCAGGGACAGCAGGTGAGGTCTATGTCAAAGGAGGAAAAAAAAAAGAAAAAAAAAAAAAAAAAGCTTAATGTCAAAATTCTTATTCAGATTTGAAATCAAAGGTGTGGTAGAGCTTATGGCTCATACGAATTACATTGAGAGTGCGCTTAGCGGACTGAAGGAATGAGCCACGGGTGAGATTGATGGCGATCCTTGAGACTGGACGGAAAGAGTTCATTGTATGGGGAGGAGGGAGAGGAAGGGGAGAGGGGGGAGGGAATGAAGAGAGTGAAGAGAAAGAATGAAAAGAATTGTATGTATGGGATGTTGAAAATGAAGAAAGGATTGTGCTTTAACAAAAAGAGATGTGTCTGTGGGGGACGAAGGGTCGACCCCGTGGGAATAATTCCGCATGGAATAGTTTGGTGGCACAGGAAGGACTTGGACCTTGTATCACGTGCATTAAAGGACAATTTGCTTTTTTTTTTTATTTTTTTTTATTTTTTTTATTTTGGGTAATGAGTTAATGAATACAAGCGAGCGAGAGAGAAGCAGGAGCTCTCACAGCCCTATCCTCTCTCCTTCCTCTTTTTTTTTTTTTTTTTTTTTTTTTTAAATGCCATATTAATGTTTACATCTGTCTATATCCCGCAACAGACACTGCTATTATTGGATGTTTGAGCTTGCTGAAGTCGCTCGTCCTCCAATTGCTGCAATGTGATCGCGTTCTCTGCATTGATCCGCTTAATCCTTTCAATCTCATGCTTCCTCTCCACCAGCTTTCGCGTGATCTGTAGAAACAACTCTTCAATTCCTATATAAGCATAGATGTATCAAAGAAAAATAGTGATGTTAAAAAAAAAAAACTCATCTGTGAATAATATTGGCGCAGCATAATAACTCGAGCAGACATTTGCTCGAGAGTAAATTGGTAATAATGTGCCTACAGAGCAGAGCTTTGTGGTCTGGAATACATTACCATCATCATCCTTGGCTGATACTTCATGCACAGAAAATTCTGGACCAAGAGTTTCTGCTACATACTTCTCGGTGCGTGAAAGAGGAATAGCTCTCCTTGACGATGCAAGATCCAGTTTATTTCCGACAACATGAATAACTATCCCGTTTGAAAAATCAATGAGATCACCTTAGTTCCTGAGGGGTCAAGTCATGACACATTTGGCAGGCATTATTGAATGAAGCCATTGTCCGCCAATAGCAATAGCAATAGTAGTAGGAATAGCAATAGCAATAGTAATAGGAATAGCAATAGGAATAGCAATAGGAATAACAACAGCGATGGCTATAGAATAATAAAAATGCTTTGCAGCTCTCCATCTCCTCTCCTCGTTTGATGCTTACTTAAATCCCCAGTCATATTTTTGCGAAGTTCTTCCACCCATGAATTCATGTCCCTGAAAGATTCCTCTGAGGTGATGTCGTAAACCAGGATGGCTGCATTGGCCTAGTAGAAATATAAAATTCAAGGTAAATAAGGTTGTGAAAGGGGGTATCAAAATCATGCTTTTCTCCCCAGAGACTGGACAAATGGGCATTTCATTCAAATCGAATTTGAGATTTGTTTCAGCATCAACTTACACCACGGTAATACATGGGTGCCATTGATCGGAACCGTTCCTGTCCAGCTGTATCCCAAATTTGGAGTCGTACTTTGCAATTATCCACAACCCTAACGGTATAAATATATAAAGGGAAAAAAGAAAAAAAAAAAAAAATTAGAATGTAAGCAACTTGCACATAGTTCTGTTTAGATCGTCATAGGTCTCACTTTCGCATGCAGCTTTCTTTGGTCAGCACACAAAGGGAGAGAGATGCAACATGCAATCAAGGGAAAAAAAAATAAAAAATAAAAAAAAAGAAACTTACAATTTCTTTGTCATGAAAGAAGCACCAATAGTTGATGTACAGTTGAGTGAGAATGTCTTTTGCACATATCGCACCACAAGCGAGGTCTTCCCGACACCTATACGTAACAAGAGAGTAAGCAATAAAGAAAAAGCAGTAAAAAAAAAAAAAAAAAAAAAAAAGAAAAGATCGAAAGATGGTTAGCATCAAGCAATTGATTGTGGATGTCATAATGCAGACTAAATTTTTTTTTCCTCCACGAGATAAACAGGGGTAGAAAAAACTGTGAGATGTGGAGGGGAAGGCCTGTTGTTTGTTATTGGAAACTCCAATGCATCTCTCGATGCCCTGGTTTTCCCAGCCTTTTTGTTTTCTCACTTGTGCATGGGGGAGCCATGACTGGGTTTGCAATAGAACCTGGAGCTGTAATCGCATTTACTCGATTGCATGGTTCGGAAATCAATATCTCTGTGGCAATATGAAAGATTGTCATGCATAGTCTCCAAACTGTGATAGACTCTCTTTCTCTTTTGAACTTTTTTTCTTCCGATTCAATGTTCATCCTTCTTTTTTCTTTTGCTGGAGCAATTCTCGGTCAGCAATTTGTATCAATAATAAATAAAGAAATAAAATAATACTGAAACTCCAATTTCACTAAAGTCATACGTCCAATAGCATCGTAATACGAGCAGAAAATTTAAAAAAAAAACAATAGCCATAAGATAGGCAGGGTGTGCAGCAACAGGACGATCCATCAGAATGAGTGGAAAGCAAAAAAGTAAAGTGAAGAAGGCATGCTGATAATTCTACTCCAAACATGAACGCGTCCAGTATGTTTTCCGCATATGATCCTGTTCTACCCCACGCTGCAATGGGTCCGTAGAAGTTCCTTAGGCTCGCCCTATCCAGTATCATCCTGTAAGAGTCGCCAATAAAAAAATAATAAAAAAAAAGACTTGACTATATCCTTCCTTTGCACTCGAGTGTAGGTGAGATAAAAAGATGAGAGGCGATTCGTTCCTGGTTATTTTCCTCTCTCACACTTCAAACAGTTCCATGCTGGTTCACTTTTACCTTGACTGCCGAGAATGACAACTTTGGCTTCCAACAAAGAAGAGTACATGACTGATAGGATGTAGAGTAAGGGAGGATGAAGGAGAGCAAGCGAAACGAGAAGAGAAAGAAAAAAAAAAAATGAAGAAGCTCTTTTTTTTTTTTTTTTTTTTTGTTCGAGAAAGAGTCTGGAGTGCAACAGTTAGCACAAGAGGACTGGAATATAGGCGTTAGAGTGATAGAAAGATGTAGATGGGTTTGTCGGTAATATTATTTGGTATGAAATGGATATGAGCACCGAAAGAGGAGTCGGGAGAGGGAAAAAAGGATCAAAGTGTATAAGAACACACACACACGAGAAGAAGAAGAAAAAAAATAAACAAAAAAAAAAAAAAAAAAAAAAAAAGATTTAAATGGCAAAGGAATGAATTGAAAGAAATGGATAAAGAATGAAGAAATGGAGGATGAGGAATGAAGAAGGGAGAAAGAAGAGGAAGAAAAAGTATAAAAAAAGAAAAAAGAAGGAAAGAAAAGAAAAGAAAAGAAGGAATGAGGAGTGAATGAATAAAGCGTGTATGTGTATGTGTATGTGTGTGTATATGTGTTGTAGATGTGATGAGGAAAGGAGGGGAGGTGAAAGTGGGAAAAAAAAAAAAAAAAAAAAAAAAAGAGAAAAAAAAAGGAGGATAAAGTATTTCTTTGACGGTGTCGAATGCTAAGCTTAAGCTTATAGCAAAATAAAAGGTAAATGGTGCCTGGCAAAGCAATGGGTGAAACAACAAGAACAGACAATCAGCATTAATAACAATCTTGATATCGACACCATCAACAACGACAAAATGGAAGGAAAGGCCTCGAAAGAGAATATGCAAACATGTCATTGTACATTACAATTCACACAGCTTCTACTTCAAAATGTTTATTGTGAGCCATGCAAACGCACATCCACCTCTGTCATTGTTTTCAAATTTATCCATCCCACTCCCTCTCATTGTTCATCTCCTATAACAAATCCCGCCTTGTCGTTGGCCTCGGTTCTGTATCCTTTCCAATCCTGATTTTATTTGACCGAAAAATGTGTCTTCTCCACGTTGTTGTCGTATCGCAAAGATGAATGTCGTACACTCTCTATTGTTTATTTATACAAATCTATCTATCTATCTATCTATCTATCTAGTTATATATATACTTATTATTTACCATTTACTCTATTTACTCTATTTACTCTATTTACTATTTACTATTTACTATTTACTATTTACTATTTACTATATACTATTTACTATTTACTATTTACTATTTACTATTTACTATTTACTATTTACTATTTACTATTTACTATTTACTATTTACTATTTACTATTTACTCTATTTACTCTATTTACTCTATTTACTCTATTTACTCTATTTACTATTTACTATTTACTCTATTTACTCTATTTACTCTATTTACTCTATTTACTATTTACTATTTACTCTATTTACTCTATTTACTATTTACTCTATTTACTATTTACTATTTATTTATTATTTTACACGCGTGGTCATTTCTCTTCCGTCATCATCATCAATCCCAACATCAACATCAACATCACAACACCGAGATCAACAACATCATTGCTTTACTTCAGTTTCCGGTGGATTGGACTGAACGAACAAAATACATGGAATACATGCGTGAGTGTGTGTAGTATATGTATATATTTTATGTAATCTTTTTTGTCCTTCCGCCCTGACTCCTTTTTGTCCCTTTTTTTTTTTTTTTTTTTTTTTGTAGGATCGTCCTTGCATGGTTAAACAAATTTATCTCTGGCTACAAATGCATGCAATCGTCAATCTACATTCATATTTCCAGACACATGTCACCATAAAAAAAAAAAATTCATGAGCCAACAAACATCGTTTGTCTAATGTAAATACAAATTCATCAGACATGCTCCTTCTTACTTCTTCCTATCTTCCTTTACTTCCTTCATTGGCCATTTCTGTGCTCTGTGCTCACTTACTGTTGATCGCTCAATTGTCCGTACTCAGGGCCATCTTTTCAATCGTCATCAAGCACCTCGGACTTTTTTTTTTTTTTTTTTTTGTAAACATACCTTCTTCCTTTAGAACAACTATGTGCATTGATACAGAGATCGATTAAACCTTCATGCATAATGTATACAACCTGCTTTTTTTTTTTTT